CATGGAGCACCCACGCGCTGCCCTCCCGACCTGTCCGAGGCCGCGGACTGCCCTTGCAACACCATCCTCAAGCCAGCCACCGCCGTCACTGAGACAACAGAAAGCCTGGGAGGGTCCTGCTGGTTTGGGGGTGCACACTCCGCTTCCCCACCTTTGTTCCTGCCCCTGGAAGCCAGCACTCTTCTTCAGCCAAGCTTTCTGGTCCCCATGCTGTCCCATCCCCGTGCTCCCTTCTGGACAAGAGAAGGCCAGGCACCTTGGGCTCAGTTTCCCTGTGCTTATGCCTCGAGGCCTCTAGATGGCGCTCAAGCCACACATCCCTGGCAAAGGCCCTCATGTCACGGGCCAGGGCCAGCCCTGGGTCAGCTCCCTGCCCAAGCCGTTTCTGTGCCTAGGGCTGAAGAGTCAGACACCGGCAGACAGGTTAACTACTCCTCGGTCCCAGAAAGCTGCCCGGGGCCCCCAAAGGATCTGTCCCAGGCTCCTGCCATGTCTGGCTGTCCACAGGAGGTCCTCTGACAAGGAAATCCAGTCCAGCCTTTCGTTTACTTTGATTTCACTGTGCGCCATACCTGTGACTTCCTGGTTCTAGGGAACCTAGAGATCTGAACCTCTGTCTCTCAAGGCAGCTCGGTCCCAGCACTGGGAGGCCACCCAACCTTTGGGGGAGTAGGTGGGGCTAGAGCTCAGGTCATCCCCATTCTGTCTCTTCCCACCTTCACTTTACATGGTCAAAGCCATGTACCAAAATCCTACTAAGAGAAGTGTGGCTAAGGTGAAGAAAACACAAAACGGGAAAGAGTTACTTTCTGCCAGGAAGCCTTCCTCGGGGTGACAAGCAGTGTGGTATGAGAGACGCACTCCTCTAACGTACCTGTGACATCCAATGGACGTTTTTTAAGAGCAGTCACCACTGGGCCATCTTTCCTGCGCAAGAGGGGGCTGCTCCGTCTCTCGGCCACTTTCTGCTTTAGCCTGGATCGTAATTTCAGATTGGGTTCAGATGCTGCACAGAAAGGAGATGTCGTTACGGCCAGAAAAACACAGAGCGGTTCAATAGCGTCTCATTTGCAGTATTATTTTTTTAAAAAGATATACATTGGATAAATATTAGCTTAACACGGATGCATTCCCCTGGAGTGTGAACGAAAGCATTCACTCGGGATGTGGTATCGAGCATTATCAGTGCAAGCCATCAGCCAAGAATAACAAACAGAAACGATCTGATGTCTTTGGCAGCAGTTTGGTGAGCACAGCGGGCTGTGTGTGTGTGTGTGTGCGTGCGTGCGTGCGTGTGTGTGTGTGAAGGGACCATCACACAATAATGCTGCTGTCACACTTTACCAAATGGACTGAAACAAGAGCCTAAGAGCTGCCTAATGCTGGGTGTGGCTGCAGGGCCCATGAGGGAGGGCTCTACACAGAGGAAGGGGGAGTTTGAGGCCCAGCCTTCCTGGGCTTTCTCAGAGAGGCCTTGCCAATTCAATCTCACATGCTACTCTTGCTTACCAAGCACTCACAACTAGGGTCTCCTCACGTTTTCTCAGCCACGGTATCCTCTCAACATCCAGGGAGTTAGATTCTAAATGTCAATTTAAAAACCAAAACAAAACAGTGCATGGTCCCCAGAAGACCTGATTTGGAGCCCTGGTTCAGCACCTCGCTGCCCGTGTGACTTTGGGCCTGTTTTCTTATGTGTAACATGAGAGGTGGCCAGAGTAGACTCTAGGTCCCTCTCACTCTCCAGTGAAGGTCCCACAAGCCATGTGCATGGAGCACGGCACCACGGAAAAGGCACGCGTTTGGAGTCAAAGGACCTAGGATTGAACCCTGGTCATTTTACTGGTCATTCTAGGACAGCTAGCTGGCACGGTCGACACAGTGCCAAGCCTAGAGTCATGAAGACCTGAGGTCAAATCTGGCCTCAGACACTTACTAGCTGTGTGACCCTGGGCAAGTCATTTAACCCTTTTAAACTCCATTAAACTCAGTTTCCTCATCTGTAAAATGATCTGGAGAAGGAAACGGCAAACCACTCCTGTATCTTTGCCAAGAAAATGGGGTCCCAAAGAGTCGGACGTTACTGAAACAACTGACCGACAGCAGAATCCTTCTTAGGGGTTATTTGACCAGGGGTAAGTTCATTTCACTCCTCTGGGCCTCAGTTTTCTTATTTGAAAAAACACTGGGTTAGATTAGATTATGTAAAAGACTTCTTCTTGCTCTAAATTAATGGCCTAGGCAAACCAGACGACTAGCCATTCTCCAAGAGACGTCATCTCCCCCCTCCACGCGTCTGTCTGTGCCTGGAACATACTTCTCACTCCCTCCTCTGAACACTCAGCTCGGCAGCTGCTGCGGCCTTCAGGAAGCTAATCCTTTCAGCAGAAAGCACTTCTCCCACCTCCAACCTGCTGAGAGCGCTTTCAGGTTACCAGGACCCAGGGGGCAGCCCATGTTTAGGATGAGCTCTGAGGGAAGGAGAGGGGTCACGGAAGCCAGCACAGCGCCTGGCACAGTGGAGGCTCCTGCCCGATGTTCACCGCGCCCGAAGGTGTGGAGAGGTCCCCCCACCTCGGGGACACCACTCAGGGACCTTCTCAGCTCTTGGGGCTCTTCCAGGGCATCAGCAAAATAAGAAGGGCACTCGCCTCAGAGGATGCTTGCTCTACCTCTCTGAGAGCCACCCAAGCAAGGGCCCAGGGTCGGCCCTGGCATGAGGACGCTGGGGGCGGGGAGTGAGCTCTGCAGGACCAGAACATCCCTTTCAAAGGTGGCTGGCTCGCCTGGGGACATGGTGAGTCAAACACTCATGTGGTCACTTCTACCTCCGGGCAGACATGGCGCATCCGTGTGCTTCCAGGGGTCTGCAGGTAAGAGGGTCGCCGTGTCTGTGACTTGGAGTCAGGAAGAGTTTGGATCTTGACTCAGACGCCTAATCGTTGTGTGATTCTAGGCAAGTCTCTTAATTTCCCTCAGCCCCAGTTTTGTCATCTGTAAAATGGGCACAAGGGTCTCTACCACCTTGGGTCATGATGAGTTGAGTGCCATAGGAATATCTGTCGCTACATTGATCATCATTCGTGTCCTTTTTGCTGGGACAGAATCTGGACAACAGGGGCTGGTCTCCCCTGGGAGGGTGGGGGAGCTGAACTTTCCCTCCTGCATCAGGAGGAACCCTGGACCAGCCCAGGCACACCCAACTGCGCCTGCGTCTGCGCCTAGCAGCCAAGGCCTCAATCGCCCAGCCCGCAGTCAGGCAGACCCTTTCGATTTCTGTTTCTCAGCGCCGCCCCGTGTTCTGCCACCACTGCTTTTCATCCCAGAATCGGAGTCACAAGGGGCTTCACCAGCAGCTCTCGGAAAAACGCGTCAGCCTGAGGGTCTCTGCTGAGGAACTTCTCAGTCCAGAAGGGTCTGCATTCTTGCCCCTCCCCCCCATCTAGAATTTCCATGGGGATGGGGTAGAGACACAGAGCCACACAAAGGCTTTCTGGGAAGGTGGGTTGATCTAGAAGAGCCAAGAGGGGTCAGATGGGACAGTGGCTCATCTTACTGATTGAGTGACGGGGACTGGGAAGGACAGCGGACAGAGAGATGGCCCCCCAGACACGTGCTGGCTGTGCTATGCCAGGAAAGGGTCCTGACCGTTGTGCGGCCCCAGGAAACTCTCCAAGACTATTGGTTATCGACTGTGGCCAATCTGTGTTGGTGGAGGGCGTCTGTACCTCGGCAGTCCCTTCAGCTGATGGGTTCCTCTTGGAAGCTTCATCCTATCTCCACTGAAATAGAGCGTGTGCTCAATCACTAATGAATTAATGAATACTAGTGGGGACTAGTATAAGTGGCGTGGCCACAGATGACTGGTAAGAGACCGAGTCAGTGAATTCTAGAGATCCAGGTCACGCTGGAGAAGACGCCGGCCCTGTGACCTGTGACCCCAGGTTCCACTCATCCTTCAGGCAGCCCCTCCACGCCCAATACCTCAAGTGCACAGCGTCCCTTGGGAAAGGGGCTGGGGCTCACCTTCCTTGACCTGGAAGCCACCACCCTCTCCCGAAGACGTTCAGTGACTCCCCACTGCCCTTAAGATGAAGTACAAATCTTCAGCCTGGCATCGAGGACCCTCGCCCACCTGGCTCCCTTTCCAATCCGTCATATGACTCCCCTTCGTGGCAAGTCAACCAGCAGGTCCCCTGCTATGGCAATCCCATCCTCCCCATGCCTCAGCACGGGTGGTTGCCCGGTCTCACGGCCCCCTTGGCCGAATCCCTAGTCTCCTTCTACTCGCGGCTCAAGGGTTCCGTTCCTCCTCTGCCTCCCAGCCCCTTCAGGCTTCAATCTCACCTTCTGGCAGATACCGCCCCTGCCGTGACCACCTGTCATTCCCACGTGCATCTGTCAGGTACAGTTATGGAAAAGTGGTCTTCCTCATTGGACGGGGGTGGGGGGAGGCGGCACCTCGAGAGCAGGGATCGAGGTTTTGTCTTTGTATCCCCAGGGCCGAGCATGGTGCCTAGCATACAACGGGTGTTTAATAGATTCTCGATGACTGACTCACTAGCAGATGCCTTTTGAAACCTCCCCGCCCACCTCCTTTTCCTCTTGAAAGGCCTTGAACGTTTTGTCTTTAGTCATTCGCACCGTGTTGTTGCACTCTCTACTCCACTGGTAGAAATTCGAGCCCTTGAGGACAAGGGGGGACAGCCTCACTTCTGCCTTTCCCCTCCGGGCAATTCCTGCAGTGACTGAGCTTGGAGCTCGGCCCTAAAGCAGAGATGAGAGAGGCAGGGGAGGACGGGGGCAGCATGGTGCATACACTGGAGCCTCTGCTGAGTACAAAAGGCCAACCTAGCTCCTTGAGGCAGAGAAAATAATGGGCTCGTGTCATTAGGAACTGGACATGCCCAGGGCAGCTTGGGAAGACAGAGCCCTCTCCCCCACCCCCCCAGCCTCCCAAGCTGGGTTTGGGTAGAACAGACAGTTCAGATCCTGCACGTCCAGGCCTCTCCAGCTCTGCCCTCTGTCAGATGCTCCCAATTCCTGCCCAGCTGCATTGGAGTTACTTGGCCACAGCGCTCCCATTCTCAGCTCCGTGGCTTTGGGATGGCTGTCCTCTGAGCCTGGCTGTCATCCGGGCCTGGCTGTCCTCCTGGCCTGCGGTGTTCATTTTATGTGCCTTCCCCTCTGAAAGGACCTTCCGTCTACTCTCTCTGCACTGAGTTATTTCCGCGTGGTCCCCCATTAGATCGTGAGCTCCTGGAGGGCAGTCCCTGGGCCTGTCTTCGTGTGCCCAGGGCTGCCGGTCACAACAAGGGTTCTCTGCTCATCACTTTCTCTCTTCACTTTTCTGTGTCCCCCCTTGAGGACAGGTGTGATTTCATTTTGAAGGTAATCAGGGGGTAAGATGGAGAAACCACAGGCCTGGGGGACAGGAAGACACACACTAGCTGTGTAACCCTACACAAGCCTCTTGACACTTTCTCAGCTTTATTTTCCTCATCTGTAAAATGGGGGTGTATTTCACCCCCATTTTATGCTATTATTTATAGCATGGGCAGGAAGGTGATAAGATCCACTGTTATCAGACTTATACAAGATGACTTGCACACACACAGAGAAACAGAGACACAGAGACAGACACAGACACACACACACACACACACGCACGCATGCACGCACGCACCCACGCACACGCCCCACACCCCACTGCACTAACCTAGAAACACTCAATAAATGCTGTCATTGATGGCTTTCCTTGGTAGGTGGGAGCCAGGTGGATGGTGTCTTTCTCTGGTCTCCCCGGCTCCTGGACCTGATTTCTGGTTGTCTTTGCTATCAAGGCAGTATTAGCTGAAGAGCCCCAAGCCCCCTTCTTGGCTTAAGACTTTGGGGCAACGAAGCCTGGACCAAAGTGGGGGAGGGGGCAGTTTCCCGTGCCACCTTCCCCATCACGCCTGCTTCAGGGAAGATCGCCCAGCCCGAGAGGCCATCCTCCTCCAGGAT